GACCACCGTGGCTACGGCGTAATTCCGGAATCCATTTTGGTTCCTTATAAGTGCGAGGCTTTTGAATTATGATGCTTTCTCGGACTGGGATGCGCTATTGGCTAATGTCGATTATATATGCTCGCCCGAAGGCCATATAACAGATCAAATCTCTGTCAGGAAGGATAAAGCACTGGTATGTACACCCCCCCCTTGAAAGAATGATCACGATGGCTGGAGGGCTTGCTGTCTTGGCTACGTCGTTGAGCGGTGGAGGGACGTTAAGTGGCGATGTCAACTACACTTCCAGCGTCATAAGGGGTCCATCATTTATGTTCAATGACGTCATGAAAACAGTAACGCCTTCAGCCACCGTGACCGCTGCCTCTTAACGAGAATCTACGACAAGGTCGCAGCTCGAAGAACGGGAAACTCACCTAGAGGAAACGCAGGTTGACCCCTAAAGGGGGCGTAGCGATGCTCAATTCGTAGCGGAGGATATGCCACCGGCGATCTAGCATGACTTTCTCCGCGGCTCTATTGGCGAACTATCGGCGCGGTAAACCACCGACTGGGTAACCACACACCGCGGGTGGGTGACCTTTTAGCGGAGAGAGCCTTAGCGTCGAAGGTGGCAGCACCGATAAGAGTCACATCAGAGCGGGGATCAACGAGCAGAAAGAGATCCCATTTCTTGGGTTTTGGGGATTTCTCATGATTTTCACCTCATCCCGGCACCACAGATCACCTCTGTCTTGGTTCTAATAAGCTGCCTTCTAATCGTAAACTCCGCCTTTAAGTCACTATGTGGACAAATATGCGCGCAAATGCGGCTAGGGTTCAAGATGAAAGTGGGGTGTGCCGTACGTCTCATATTTAAAAAGCTATTGAGCGAAGCCAAGTGTTTCATACCAGTGCTCTTCTGGGCCACACATCTCCACCTGTGAGAGTCGCCACCACTGAAGGATCTTGAACAGGTTGGTGCCAAGGCTGATCTCAGTCGACGAATGGGAGGTAAATCGCGGACAAAAAGCTATCAGGTACCTGCTCTTAGATGCGAATGGATGCAGACAAAAGACTGCCCATCCCAAATACCTTGCCCCTACGACAATTCGGGCTCTTTCGCGTGCAGGCACATGTGGAGCGAACACGAGGATCCTCATCTCATTCCGCAGTTTTGAAAAAAATGTGATGAGGTGTGGATAAGATACTTACAAAGAGTACATCTTTATGTGCCATAGCCGAAAAATTACAATGCATGGGTCACTTCTCAGCATTACAATACCTTCACAGAAAACAAATTGAAAGAAACATTGCATTATTGAAAAGAAGGGAATAGTGAGTGATAGCTGTAATGATTTTGTAATGCTCAAAAGCCATATCCTCTTTGTCTCTTACATAATTGCAAGTTTAAAAAAAAGAGCGGCAAGAACACACTCCGAGTAAGATGTACATTGAACGCATTCGAACCGACTTTAGCACATACACAGAAAGGAAAAAAAAATCAATCTTTCTTCTTTTTCTTCTTCTTTCGGATTCACATGTCGCGTAGTGATCGAGACGATTCACGTTGTTCCATCTGAATAACGAAAAAGCGATAGTAGTATTAAGTATATAATATTAATTAGTGAGTATTATAACATTAATAGTATTATACACCAGTTGGCGCCGCACGCATTGCGCGCACAACACAGATCTGCGGCGAATTTTGATGGTGCGACGAAAATTTTCAAATTTGGCTTGATACACCACGAATATCTGAATTCTCAGCTAAATTCTATCCGCTCCATCATCGACGGCTTTCAACCTCTTTTTCTTCGTCAACCATTATCCTCTTTTTCCCGGTCTCCGGACTGCTTCCGGACAATAAATCTCGTGGCAAACTCCGCCTACTTCGGTGCGTGCCCCGCCCACCAATAGCATTTGGCCCCCTTCCTTTCGCCGACCTCTACCCCTTTTTTCACCGGTCTTCTGGGACCTCTTGGAACCAAATTACCGACACTTTTGGCAAACTCCGCCCACTTTGGTCAAGCCCCGCCACCATTGACAGCTGGCCTCCACTCCACCACCTCCACCTTTTTCCGGCTCTTTAAGACTTCCCCGACCCGAATTATGAGGGCTTGTAGAAAATGCTGTACACTTCAGAGCGCGCCCCGCCCATTCTGGGCAGGCCTCCGCCCACGTCATGTATGCGGGAAACACCTTAGACATTGCTCCCTTACACCAAATTGTTTTCTGCTCTGTAGGCTTTCTCCCAACCGAGTTATGAAATTTTTCATAAAGCACTGCTTTTTTAGAGAACGCCCCGCCCACCGGGGGTGGGTCTCCCTAATTCGATGTGACTTACCAATGCACACCTTTACCCACTTTTTGGCCAGTTTCGAGGTCGTTTTGTCACTGAAATCGAAATCTTGGTCTTCGGTACAATTCATTTCGACGCACGCCACGCCCTCTGTGGGCGGGGCTCCGCTTAGCTGATGTGTGTTTTGTATTACGTGAGACCTTGCCCACCCATTCCCACACTTGACCCGGTCCCTCCAGGCGGATCCCGAGGAGCTAGGGAATTTCGTGACAGACATACAGAACGACAGACAGAGGGACAGAGAACGACAGACAGAACGACAGACGAAGCGCTTTATAGTAAGTAGGATATACTTATCGTTTCCATTTATCCCTACTATACATATGCGTTGTGCGCGTGTGTGGCGTGGTTGCAGTCGATGTAGTGTCAGGGTGTCTGTCTTTTCACGAAAAATCCCTACTTTCTAGAGACCCTTCACCTGGACGAGAGAGATATGGCGTCAAGTGTGAATGGGGTATCTTTGGAGTGCAAAAACAGATTCGCGCTAAGCTGAGCCGACCACAGTGGGCGTGGGCGTGCGTTGCAATGTGCGGAGTGACCACACGAAATACTCGGTTCAAGAATATCTTCGAGACGCAGAGAGAAAAATTGGAAAGTCTGACATCAGCGCGTCCAGAAGCCAACAACCTGCAGTACTGGAAAAGAAACGATGTCGAATTTACCATGAAGTGCTAAAATATGGGTGGCCGTTTGTGACACCCTAGATCCGTAGTGTGATGCACGACGCAATACGATGACGCAATTAAAACTTGGTCATACATGTTGTTGTTTAGCTTTACTTTAAAATCAGCACTTTGAAGCGAGATCTCCGCGTTATGGTCGTAAGCCGAAGAAGGGTAATATCGCTAGTCAGAGGGCAGGCGAACTTCCAAAGCTGCGAAAGTCACTGTGCCAAAACAGGTCCTATTTCTCGAATCTTGGGCCGTTTTTTTTGCATTTTTTATCATCCGTGCCTCAGTGCCACTTTCTACCTTTGAATTCAATGGGCTCTCACCAAGAACTCCGCTTTTAGCAATGATTGCGGGTCATACGAAAATAGCTCTTGTAAGTTTTGCTGATGCTGCATTGATATCAAATTGAGAAAGGAATTCCCTTACTACATGTTTCAAAAATATTTCCACAGGAATCTTGGACACGCGTACCGCTTACTTAGAAGTAAAGGCAGATTTCGGTTTAGTGATCGACTGGTAAATGACGACAGGTAAGTGTACGGTTCCGGTCCATAATTACTGCACGCACTTTTTTCGAAAAGAAATGTTGCGAAGGAGATCCGTAAGGCCGAGGGTGGAGAACAACTTTCTGATCGATGCAGCACATTTTCAAGGAGTTACAAGTCTAAAGCCATTCGATGAGGGTGACGAAACGGGCTAACTAGGGAAGATCAACATGTCGGTCCGGCTTGTAGCAGACATGTGTGCATCCCTTCAAGCATTCTGAGAACGGCTTGATGTACATAACGCACAAGTATTGACTAGTGTGGCTTTGTGAAAGCTATAATATGTAGAGTATGTCCACAGCCCAGAGGTTCTTCGTTGGCGCATTTTGTGACTATGGGTAATGTACTTCGGCCAATAGGAACGTTGTGTTGGAAAAGGAATGGTGGTTCTCCAAGAGCCATTTTTGGACGGTTTTTTCTGAAGAAAAATAAAAATTCACCTCATTCCCGTAAAGCCGCTAATGTCCAATCATTAAGTCGGCCCTATCAGCGCATATTGTTAATGAGACGAATTTTATCAACAAAAAAAAACGTGAAGGAAAAGCAGGGTACTAGTTCGCGTATCTGAGAACTGACCTCTTCCACGACATTGTATGTGGGAGTACGAGCAGATCCTGGCAGGTCTCCCTTCTTTGGGGTCTTACCCTTTGCTTTAGAGGGCGTTTTGGCCTTCGATGACGGCTTTTTATCCTTCTTGACTTCTTTTGACCCTGTTTTTGTTGACTTAGATGACTTAGATGACTTAGATTTAGAAGAAGATTTCTTTGATGATGAAGCGGTATCCGCCTTATTCGTCTTATCCGTCGTCTTCGTCTTAGTGGTCACTTTTTCTCGGACTCCGTCAACCATCACGTGGCGCTGTAATTTGACACTTTCTATGGTACAAGCTGCCGCTGCATTCATGTTCTTTTAGTCTTCGTAACACTTACCACCACTTTAGTCTCACGCTTGACCCCTTCTTTATTTGGAGCTTGTAGACTCACCTAAATATTCACACCTATGATTGCCATATTTGTTGGATAAAGTTATCGTAACATTTAGCTATGGCGGTCTTGAAGCGAGGTCAATGCGGGTGTCCATTTCAATGATTTTAACGACTCAACATCAACATATCCCTTCATCAGCCTTGGGAGGAGCGGGTCCCTAGTTTCTATGATTAGTTGTGAGAGCAGTAGACATTCTCAAATCCACCAAGCTTTTCCCTTCAGAATGTCCATCGAGTGGGAGAGGAATGGGGGAAATCGTTAGCATTTCAGAATAGAGTATCTCCAAAGAAAGGCTAATGCTAATTGCCATCTGTTAGGTCGTCTCATTAGAAGTATCGTTTTTTCTAACATCTGCTTAAAACCCATGTTTTTATTGTATATAAACCAGTTGGCGCCGCACGCATTGCGCGCGCAACACAGATCTGCGGCGAATTTTGATGGTGCGACGAAAATTTTCAAATTTGGCTTGATACACCACGAATATGCAGAGAGGCCAGTCGGCGAAAACTAACCTAACCGACAACTGGATCTAACTCTATTTTTTCACAAGGGCAAATCGGTCAATGAGTTACCCTCCAATGAGTTTCAATCTCTTCTGAGCACTCCGCTATTAACGTGTCAGAAAACCTTGCCGTATTTCTTTCCAGTTTGATTTTTCTGGTTAAGTGCCATTTGAACTGGACCATTTCCCCCGGAATCCCGTTGTTTTATTCCGAGCGTTAAATCATTCGTAAGCTTCTTTTCTGCTGATTCGCTCCTATGTGTTGCTTAAAAACCGCGAGTCGGGATTAGGTTCCATGGGCCGGTCCCTCACAAGGTGAGGAAGAGGGGTACCAAGTGCAGGAGAGGCGACACTGTCGCGACTCAAAGTGCGAGGCAACGGCGCTAAGGCCTGCCTTGTGTGCTGCCGTGCTGCCATCCTTATCAATCGCGGCATACGTGGTGTTTGCGCCCTCTCGCGTACGACGCTCTCTCTCGTTTTCCCTCTCCTCGCAGCGCTGTGTCTCTCTATCGGTCGACCACACAAGAAAGATTCCCGCGGTTTTTATGACGCTTTTTGCTCTTCCCCCCTAACGTTCCTCTTCGCATTTCTTGCCTAATTTTCAAACAAAATAACGCACTAATTCGATTTCGCCTGGCGCGTTTGATTTTTATTATGAATTACGTCGAATTTTAGGTCTACGTGATGAGGTATCCATTCTACGGGACGACCACATTACTCTGAAAGTTCTTCCGAGGATGATGAAACCAATCAGGCAAACATTTCGATTTCAGTCATTTCTTGTGCCGAAATTCCACTAGTTTCTATTGCCTTAGCTGTAAACAATTTCGGGTCTAGTTGTAGCGCTAAAATAGCGAAATAGCGCTTAAAAGCTCATCCGAGGCAGAATAATTTGTGTGAATGACTTATTCGTTCTATGCCATAGAGCCTCAAAGGACAATCACGAATGTGGCATTCCCGTGCACGGAAATCACCCGACAAGAGCGCTAGGGCCTTGCAAAGTAAGCTGCTGCAGCTGCAATTTTTTCTTTAGGCTGTCTGGCGCCCTCTCATCTGTTGCGCTCTCTCGCCTACACTCTCCTCTCGCGCTTACAAGGGAGGACGTCTTTTTCAAAACGGTTTTTTTTGCATGCTGTGGGGACTCACACATGGACTACACAAATACACACGTGTTTTTCATTTCGCAGAGCGCCCCCGAGGACAAAAAGGGTCGAAAAAATTTTGTTTTAGATGCGGTGTTGGGTTTTGCGAGCCTTGGAGTGAGGTTTCGGTGCTTGCAGAAAAAAAAGGCACCCTTGCAATGAAGGCACTGATCAAGTGGAGATGGAGAGCGTGACTTCGCAAGTGAGGTTCTGTCCGGTGGATAGTGTTGAAAAATTTGCTGCGGGCTCATAAGTGCCGTCCGGTATTCTATTGGCGTGTGGGGTGTGGTAGTCAGTGGTATAGTGTGTTGGTTTGAGGGTCTTTGTGGTTCGACTCTTTTTCATGCTATGCTTTCTTGTGCATTTTTGATTATCACCTCCGAATCAGTGCCAATTGCTTCAACGTCAAAACTAACGCTGTATTCACACAATCAGGACCATCAGCAGCCCTTGCGAATGGGTTTTCTTAAAAGAACTGGCGGAATCAATTTGCTGCGCCAAAAATGCGCCAATGACGCCGACGCCAAAAATAAACCCCATATTCATGATCAGGACCCTGATTTAAAGCATATAGGACATAAAATTCGGCGGAAATCGGACCCCCGAGATTTTGACCTAACTTCGAAAAAGGAGGTGACCATGGGCTACAGCTCGTCATACAATGCCGGCGGGCGACTTGAAAACGAGCGCTGCGCGAAAATAAAGCGGAATGCTGCGGTGATTAACGGAATCTAGAGTTCGGCTTCATAGAGAATATTCTACCACATCGCAGTCCTTGGAATCGATCTAGCTATCGAGATGAAGCCTGTGAGTGGAAGAGCCACTGGAGATCAAACGATACGTTTTGTGGAGGAGAGGATTGCGACTTCATAACATCATGTGTACATTACTAGCTTTGTTGTCTCCCATTGTCCAGTCAGTAGTAGAACATTCCCTTATTTAGAAGATAACAAGGAACTCGATTTGCAGTTCACCGGTTGGAGGGCGACGATAAGCCACTGACTGACTATCAATGCGCCAAATTCTCGGGTCTGGGTCAAAATCTCAGTTTTCTCTAAAACTTCCATTATACGGGTTTCGAGTGCCCTGATCACGGATATGACATTCATTTTTCCGATTGCTCAAATTTACGCCACTTCGGCGCCATTTGCGCATATCTGGCGCCTCAATGTTTTCTACGGACTGCGAGTTAAAATTCGAGTTGCACTTACTGACAGCCTTGATAACGAACGCGACACCTAATATTGGCGCTGGCGCTATTAGGAGCGATTTGAAGAAGTTCCAAAAGAAATGCAAAAATTTTGTCATCAGGAGAGATCGAACCTCGGTCCAATTCTTTACCATTTTTTGGCCCATCAGGGAGCCGCTCAGCGAAAATGGAACACAGTGTTGTAGTCCCCGTGAAGTCCACAGCATACAAAAAAACCGTTGTGAAAAAACGCTCCACACCCTGAATGACCTCCCTTGTTAGTCTCTCATTATCTTAGCACAGCCGATTACGAAGGTGTGTAAGCTCCGACCTAAGCTTTTCGTGCTTTTTTCTTTTCTTATTTTTTCACTACCGGTCCTTTCGCACCGATACATTCATATTCAAAAGCCACATCAATTTGATAGTGGGGCATGCCTTCAGCTATCGATACCATCGAGCTCTGGGCAGCCACAAATTTGGGAAGGGAACGATGCGACTTCTGAGGAAATATCACAATGCAAAGTGAGCGTGCGACTAAAAAGGTGGTAGTGGGTGGGGGGGGGACACGCGGCGGCCGTAGCGCTCTAGTTGTGTTTGAGCTCTGAGGCTAGATCCAAGGGGCGTTACTATTTCAGGGGGGTTTCGGCCAACCGGCAAGTTTTCAAATACGCGTCATGGCGTCTAGCCGGGTGGTGGAGCAAGAACAGGCGCCGTGTGGCCGCGTGGCCCCCCACCACCAAAAAAGTGTATTGTTGACAGATTTTACTGAGGGCCCCAGGAGAAAGTGGAGTTAAGCTGGTTGTCGGTTCGGCTAATTTTCGTCGACTGAACCTGCTCGCATAATATGACAACTCGAGAAGTTCGTTGTCCGGTCTCCAACAGCTCCTTTTTTTTCGATTGCTAACGGCGAAGAAGGGCGAAGAAAGATCTATTTTCGGCCTTGCCTACGTCTTCTTTTCATTTTTCTTTATTTTTTTTACATTTTCTTTGTTTCATGTTACATCTCTGCACTTGTTTTCGAACGCAAAACCCGCTCAAATCTATCCCGATGTGTGTCTTGTCCCTCTTTCTTGGGAAAACCTAAGCATATGTTGTAAGGGTACGTCTGTTAGTCAAGTGGTGCGCGGATTTCGATCAAAGCAACTCCGACGCTATCGTAAGGTCCTCGAGTAACAATCTCTACAGTTCATTTACACGAGCTTATCGGGCATATTTCTTCTGGAAATCTCATAATCAGTTACATTCTCTAATACTCACTGTGTCATTCACTGTCTCTTGACCGGAGCCAATAACAATTCCTCGCGGTTGTCGTATCTTGCAATTTGTACGTAATCCTCTCCTTAAAATTCGATTTCTTCTGCAGAGATCATGGGTCTGGAGCTATTTTTTTGTGCTAACTCGAATAATACCGCTGTACCAGTGTACTACAGGGAGTTTGGACGCGTTCTGAATCAATTTTAGGAGTACGGTTTCAAGAGATATTCGAATGTTGGATGAATACGAACACGCAGGTTGCACAGGATCCTCTCGTCTTCTCTTCTCCTTTTCTCTCTCGTTCCTAGAGGGAATTTCAGTGCTTTCACGAACCATGGTTCAATCAGATGGGGCGCTCTTAGGTGGGTGGGATAGATACTATCGAGTGTAATGTACAAAAGCGCTAGCTTTCGTCAGATCTCTCGTTTCTAGTCAGCAGCATTCGCGTCTTGGGCACTATTCATGCTCCTATGTAGATAGATAAAGCAGCAATTCTAACTTTACTTAGAGTTTTCACGGTTATCCTTATTTTTCACTTCAACCAGCCACCAGTTTTACATCTTCCTTTGTTTTTCGTGGTTCAAGAACTCACAGTTGGATCTGGGTAGTCTTCGAGGAACTTCCACTGAAATCATTTACAGTTTAACTTGCTGGAAAAGTGTGCCCTATTCAATGCCAGGGCTCACAGAACCTAGAGAACAAACAAAAGAGTAAAATATGTAAAAAACAATCAACAGTCACGTTGCAATCGCACTAGTGAGGTTATTCGCCAGAAGTGAATATATGGTAAGAAGACCGGTCGTGAGGAAGAAGATGGATAAACTAAGAAAACAGTCGGAATGAATGAACCTTCTTTGTTGTGAGGTGACGCAGAGAGGCGATGGGCATGGCGGAAGGAGAGAGAACAGCGAGCGGTTCGTATAGGGATATTATATGGTGCCAGTCAATGTCTGAGTTCGGATCATCTTGTCCGATGAGAATGAAGTTAAAGGCAGCAATTACGATAGGTTCAAGAAGGGTTAGAGGAACGTAGTGGTGCTCAATGGTACGCCAGTGAGCGAAAAAAAGTAGAGAAATCCGTCAAGAAACCAAAGGCCCTCCCTTTTCTGGTCGTTGGTTTTCACTTGATGAACACGAGGTAGGCAGTCGAAGCAGGCAGACTTGATGAACGAGTGATGCAGGGTTTGTGTCACAATGGCCAAAACACGCTTTATCGAGATGTTCGAGTTGTATGCAGTTGTGGCACCAGGTCGTTCCAAATCAACAACTAAATGGTGGGTGGTGCGGATCTTTGGGGGGCGGAGCTTCGGTGTCCTGTTTACTGCGTACTTTCGTCGTGAAAGCGCTACACCTCGCTTCCTGGCAGCCGAGTGACTGCTTCCTGGTGTATATGCTTGCCCCTATGGATTCCCTTTGTACCGTAATCGGTTATTTAATTAACAGTAAAACGTGCTCGATGGACGAAGCGACTAATGCTGGGATATAGGAAAAGCTTCATTGGGTTCTCAGCAGGGAGAGCTGCGCTGAGATGATCTTGGCTGCTTTATGAAGCAGTGCGTACTCTCTTATATTATGTAGACGAACTCCAACGATTACCGAAGGATGCTCTGATGGTAATGTTGTTCAAGAGAAGTTGCGGTAATTCACAGTTTCTGCACACAAGCTCTATCCGCAACCGATCGATAAATGATAAATAGCAAAAAATGTAAATAGCAACAATGTAGGCTTTCTCATAGCAGTCATAGAACTTAGGTGTGGCCCTGAGCAAGAGAACTAGGAGTGACCACCATTTCCATGTCTGTGACGGCGCGACCATCGATGATTTGCATAAAATATGCAAAAAGACAATGTATTACGGGGGGGTAGTCCTGATGCCCCTCCGAGAAGAGGACGTATTCGTAAAAGTTTAGAATTACGCATTTAGAGATCGTACGCACCGTACGTTGACCCTAATTGCAACCATTGACCTTATTCCTATGGAACAGTTGGTTTTCAGAGCCTTCGAACTTTAGAAACGTATAAGCACTAACGTGAAGAAGTGTCGAGACGAGAACCAGTAACCAAAAAATGAGAGGGCTTCACATGGTGCATGGAAATCAATCGAGAAAAAGGTTCCCTATGGACATCTGGAGAGGTGGTTTCATTACTCTCATCGGACAGAACGTTCAAAAGGATTTTTGAGCTGGGAGAATGTCCTGATTGAAGAAAAGCAACTGTGCTTAAAACGTGACAGCGACATAGGAACGTTTTGTCGCTCGCTCGGCGCTGAAACTAAACTTTAGTTGGAGCTGCTCCGCAGTCATTCTCAAAGTATTTCCGTCCCGAAACCTTCGAGATAAGGCGGCGAAGAAGTAACATACCTATTCATTCTCCTTGCTCGCTCTGCTTCCTTGAAGAATGTTACACACTGAATGAAAATTCATTATTGGAGATCGAATCGAGGCAGTCTCTCAACTGTTGACGACTCGTTATCAAAAAAATTTAGTGCAAAAATTACCGCCGTAAAGCCAATTTCCCTAGCAAGCTCTATCAGGTGTATTATTGTTCCACCATAGTAGTGAAGGAGAAGCTGAAACAAGTTTTTAATTAAACAACAAGTGGAAAGAGCAGCTTTACTGCACTTGTGCTGTACAACAGGTCTGAATATCGGTCGAGGATTCCTCAACGGCTTGTCGAGGATTTTCGCCTGATCATTACGCTCTCCCGCGCGGACATTCACACTCGCCATGCGCGAGCCGTCTGTGCTCTCCGCGCGTATGTTCACTCTCGGCACTACAGAGCCATGGTCGAGGAATTCCTCGACCGTTATTCACCCTGCTGTACAGGTCTCCGTGTCGCTGCTCAGCTTATCTTGTGATGGTCTGCTTTCACTGTCTTCGTTTGAATCTTTGGTGCTATACAAGTAGGGTGGGCACGCCGCATTTTTTGAACAGAAATGTATGTAAGTGGGACTGCTGCCCGCTACTATACTGTCACGAGAATCGGGGAATTCGTGAGCCAGGGGGAGTGTAGCCAATCTAGGGGGTGGGGGTGAGGGCAGTCACTTGACATGCGTGAAAAGCTGGGCGTGCCCACCCAACTTGTATAGAGCCGAATCTTTACAGTGGCTTGTAATCGAGTGATACGCAAGCGATCCAAGATGTCGAAGCTCTCAATGATTTCATTTAAACATATCTATCTGTATTTGTTATTAATATTTCCACGTTAGTGCTCTTATTTCCATATCGTTCGCAGAGTAATACCCACTTTTAAAACAATTTTATCCATCCCATATAGCCAATTTCCCCAACTCCTAATATCCTAGCTGGCGCTCATCCAGATAGGGGGGGCATCAAGTGGCTGCCCTCACCCCCACCCCCTAGACTGCCTACACTCCCCCTGGCGCACAGGTTTCTCGAAGTACGGGACCCCGTGAGCCAGGGGGAGTGAAGGCAGTCTAGGGGGTGGGGGGTGAGGGCAGCCACTTGACGTTGCATCACAATGCCCCCCCCCTTACCGGATGAGCGCCTCCTAGCTTCCTAATCTACAGCTGCGCTAATCAATAACTATCTTATGTTTTAGCTAACCGCGAAATTCTTGAAGTTAGGTGTTGTATGCATTGTGTATTCTTCTAGACATACCCATCCCAAGAGGAATCCAAGGAAGTGAAGCAGAGCGAGAGAAGCTGCCAGGTAGATGCTCATATGTTGTACTGGTAAATGGTTCATCAAGCATACAAGTGACCTGAAATCCAATCATTCAGGGTCCGACTATCAGATCCAATCATTCAGGGTCCGACTATCAGATAAAAGCCTCTGGAGTGGGACTCACCCGTAAAACCTATCTATCTTCTCGCATTGTACTGCCTTAACATCAAATAGCAAGTAGAACGCGATATGTATTGTGTTGAGCATGAATAATGTTAACATCACTACGGGTGTAAGAAAGACGAAAAGCTGAAAGGTAGCTGCTTTCCATTTTCGTTGAATCGAAGATTTCTTGATAAGTGAAGACTAATAACTTCTTTTACCTTCATGCTCGAAAAGTATTACTAGCAGTATGAAAAATAGCACTAGGACCTGAAAAAAATCCTACTATATATAATTCACTAAGTATGTCTGTGTATGTGTGGGTCTATGTGTGTGTGCGTGTGTCTGTCACGAAATTCATAGCGCCCTTCGGTGCAACAGTAGAGCGCTGTATGTTGTAGAGGTTGGGACGGGAACATATTTGGTGGGAGACCAAAGTGCATAACGATTGATATAGAATCGATAATGAGGCCGCCAAAACGCGATTCACTGAGGACCATAGCTGCGGAATTGTGCAGCTAGTGAGGCGTTGGTTCCAAGAAGTGATGTGGAGGGTAGGACGGGAACATCTTTGGTGGGGGACTCAAAGTGATAACGACTGATAAGACCCGATAAGAGGCGCCAGAACGCCAATTCCACGATATCCATAGCGCGCGTCCCAGCATCAGTGAGGCGTTGGTTTCAAGAAGTGATGTGGAGGGTAGAACGGGAACATCTCTGGTAGTCATATAACGAAACGAAGCCATGGACTTGGTTGTGGCATGTCTGCCTACATGGAGCAGTCTGGCAGCATTGTGCACACGCGGCACTGAGATACTTGCAAGTGTCGAAAGTGACGAGGGACGCACCTGAGGCGCCCACCCAATATGTGGACCGTCGTTGCGCCAAACGTAAATTGGTGCGGTATATCATTCACACTCATAATCGTCAATAAGGTCCCGAAGTTGCGATCAGGGACGACCCTACCGTTGGTACTTCTCAGAAGTTTTTTACGACTCCTTCTCCCAATCAAAAATTTCACGACTCTCCTTCACCACTCTCGCCGTCATGATGGCTGTTCGGCCTAGTATTGAAAGCTGAGATAAGCGACACTGAACTCACCCTTTTCTTGGAATTGGTCGTCGAGAGGAGGGAGGGTTACAATCTGCTCCACTACGCGTCTAAACTCACCCAGCCAATTACCCATGTTCTCTCATGCAACACTCCAGTTTCACATGTGATTTCATGAGGTTAGAGCGAGTACGACCCGTCCCCCACCTACATCTACACAAATAGACCAGTCCCCCTTTGGTACTTGGGCGCACTAGGGTTGATACTGGCTGTAATAGTAGAACAGCCCTTTCGGCATAACGACAATTGGAGTAGCAACATTTGCGAAGGGGAACTATCCACGTCCATTCAGTGACTGTGATGCCTTTTGACTACTGGGAGTCAGCGAGTGCACGGTCCGATAATCTCCTGATCTTTTTCTCGGATTCTCCTTTGCCCATTTCAGCGCAAGAGTAAACAATAAGTGATTGTCACACAGTGCGAAGGCGTAAGTGTGCCACATTGGATGAGCTCAATAGTAATTGCTTGCGCCTTACAGAACAATCGGAAAGGAAAATCGCTAATGCGTAAGGTTAAATTGAGGGACGGAGAGCTTGCTTGTAGAACGGTTAGATGGTATCCACAGGGAATCAAAGAGTCGCGGATGATGATCCTGAGAAAGCATATTCACCGATTGGATAGATAACCCTTTTTGTGGATAATCCGAGGTTCCCCTTCGCGATTCTTCAATTCTCGAGAACGTTGACAGCGCGGAATCAACAGGATAGACGCCCACTCCGCTCACAAACTTTCGGAGGCTTCAGGCCTAAAGTGTCATGACAGTCTACAGTGCGAACGTAAGACCCTGCGGCATTTGCTGAAGGATCAACCATTACGCTAATGGTAAGAGAATGTGAGGTAACTCTCCTGTGGGGGTGTTTCGCTCCTCGGCTTCCGCACTCTCCATCAGTATTCCTTCACTATCCTTACCTACTTCTCTTACCTCCACTTAAAACCTGCTATTGTATTCGAGGAATTGGTCTATGATCGGAAGGGAGATCAATTTTAGACTGCAAAAATGGGAAATTTCATGTAACCCCTCTCCTATTCCCTTTTATTCGAAGGACGACTGACTCGCTGGAGAAGGTACCGTATCCATTCCAATTCGAATTGTCTACGTTTGCCTGCGAGGTAGAAAAAACCTTCCAAAGCATTCGTTTTTTGGTCTCCAATTTCCAATGCAGCAAAAGTCCCTGAGAATTGTCGGTTTACAAGAGTAATCTCAAAACCAGCAAGATGTCGACCTTCCGAATTTGCACGGTGAATTTAACGATAGACACCTAAGCTGTCCCACTCTGACAAGGGAGGTCGTTCGGGGCAAGCCGGCTTTTCCAAAACGGTTTTTTGCATGCTGTAGGGGCTCTGCGTGGACTACAAATCTGTGTTTCATTTTCGCTGAACGGTTCCCTGATGGCCAAAAAAGGGTCGAAAAAAATTTGTTGAGAATGGGCGGTTTTTACAGCTTTGGAGTGACGTTTCAGACTTGCAGAGAAGATCACCTGCATAGGGAGCTGATCAAGAAGGTATTGAAAACAAGGTGAAATTCGCCAAAAATTGAAGTACTGTTAGTGGTAGTGCTCGAGAAAAGGAAGAGGTTTCATAAGCATCATCGGCACCCTACCACTCGCAGTGGTATGCCGGTCGAGTGGATAGCGTGATGGACTCGTATCGGAAACTGTTTATTGGTTCGATTGTCCCTCCAAATGCAGCGCCTAAATTGCTTAAGCGTCAATTTTAACGCTATATTCACAATCAGGACCATCAGCAGCCCCTGCAAATGGGTTTACTATCAAAAACTGGCAGAAGCGCCAAACTGGCGCCAAATGGCGCCGCCAAAAAATAACGTCATATTCGTGATCAGCACCCCGATTTACCCCTATAGGCAAAATTTCGACGAAAATCGAGATTTTGACCTAACTTCGAAAAAGGAGGTGACCATGGGCCACAGGTCGTCATGCACGCCAGCGGGCGACTTGAAGACGAGCGCTGCGTGAAAATCAGTGGAACACCCTGATGATTCACGGAATCCAGAGCTCGATCTCATAGAGAACATCTCCCACCGCGTCCCTGTCCTTGAAATCTGTGGAGATGAGCCCCTACAGGTGAAGGAGCGGAGGACCCAACATATCACGTCTTGAAGGAAAGAAGAATCTGTCAACTTCAACTCATGCGGATGTGGTCTATCACCAGCTTGAGTGTCTCCATTGTCTATTCTGTAGTGTTAATTTCTTTTATTGGAGGAGGATTACGAGGAAACTCATTTCCAATCGCTGGCTGGAGTACCCCATGGGCCACTGACCGACCTGTCGATGGCCAATTTTTCGGAACTGGCTCAAAATCTCAATTTTTCTAAAACTTTTACTTTAAGGAATATCTAATGCTCTGAATATGACATCCATTTATCCAGATGGCTCCAATTTACCCTACTTCAGCACCATTTGACGCCCTTCTGGCGTTTCAACTTTTTAGCGCCATATTCCAATTGAGATCTGAGTGTAATGGTTCCTGGTGGTCCTCATGATGAATATGATTCATAATTTTAACATTGGTGCTATTTGGAAGAAATTTGGAAGCTCCAACCAAATGCAAAAATTTTGTCATCAGGGGATTGATCCTTGGACCATTTCCTCACCACTTTTGGCCTTCACGGGGCCGTTCAGCGAAAATGGACCTTGGTTCTGTAGTCCACGCATGAGTTCCTATAACATGCAGAAAACCGTTTCGAAAAGCGCGGCTTGCCCTGAACGACCTCCCTTGTGAGCGATTTCACGCTCAGGTGCTGCAGTAGGACGGCGCAGCATGCCAGCGATGTCTGTATCTTTACTGGTATGTTACGCGTTAAACTTTCCGACCGACACACGTGAATAGTACTTCGGCTTGCGTGTAGTACATTGAATGATCCCGCTCCTGTGTACACAAGCTCCACTAATTAAAGGACGAATTCACGATCAGAGGGAAATGTCACCCATTCGCGACGCGCAGGACTTCGCAATAGCAGCGGAGTCAGGCGATTTTTCTTCAATAAAATTCGAGTGGAGGGAGAGATTTCTCTGCCCAGGGCTGGCGTAGATGAGCGAGGGTATGAAGATTATTTTCATGAAAAAAAAATTCCAATTTCCATTTGAACCCCTGCAGCCACAGTAATGCCATTGTCCCGAGTGAGATCTGTGTCAGCCACCGGTGGCTGACATTTGTTCTACGGAATGTATTAAAGGACGAATTCACGATCAGAGGGAAAATCGAATTAGGAAGAATTCACCTGGTTGAGGGACCCGCGGAGCTCCTAAGTGTGCGAACTGAAGCACAATTTGCACAGGAGGAGTTGACCTCGTTGACCTATTAAGGTTTAATCCCGCCGCGGCTGGTCAGTGCACGCCCACCGATCATCTGATCACTCGCGCAGCGGCCCGTTGTGGTGTCTTTGTGATTAGATAGGTGAGAGAGCGTAGCGTTGAAGAGGGCACAGCGATGATAGTCGCATCAATGCTCAAATCAACGGGCAAGGAAGTGGTCCCATTTCTCAGGTTCTGGGCCGTTTCGCATGGTTTTTCCTTCTTTAGTGTACCACTCACCATCGCTAACTTAATTTGAAATGGGTTGCCTTTCCAGCGTGAATTCGTCCTTTAAAGGCAAACCCCGGGATTAGCCCGACTAGGAGGGATACCACGAGGGAAATTGTAAGGTCCGTACCTACCTAGATCACTCCAGCTTCGTCGCAAAAATTGCGCGGTTAGGGCGCTAATCCTTACGGGCCTGCAACCATCGACCCCCGTTGCAACGCTTCCCACCCACCGCGAGAGTGGTGA